GATGAGAGTGCAGAGGAGAGCGGAGGTGAGAGGAAAAAGATCAAGGAGAAGAAGAAGAAAAAGAAAGACATGACTGATGAAAGTGCAGAGGAGAGCGAAGGTGAGATGGAAAAAAGCAAGGAGAAGAAGAAGAAGGCGAAGGAAATGACCGATGAAAGTGGAGAGGAGAACGAAAGTGAGAGGAAAAAGAGCAACATAAAGAAGAAGAAGAATAAGAAGCCGGCAACAGTGGTTGAGGAAGATAACGATATGGTTGATGGTGAAGAGGGAGAGGCGGATTCCGACACCCCTCTTGCAAAAATCTTGAGGAAAGAGAGAGAGCTGAATAATAAGAAGAAAATGAATGAGAAGAAGCTGGTTATCGTGGAGGACAGTGATGTGGAGATGAAACAAATTCTTCTAGCTTTGGCATCTCAAGTGGGAAAAATGGACACCAATGTTACAGCCCGAATGAGTGGATTGGAAGCTAGGATGACTAAGCTCGAGGAGGCTAAGAAGGTGCCGCAGGCGGAGGGAGTAAGGGCCGAGGAGAAAGCAGATTCCGTCGGATCCGCAATCAAAGATGCAACCCCAACAGCGAAAGCACCTGCAAAACCAAAACCTCCTCCTAAAACCAAAAACGGTTCCGGTGACAAAGATCCGGTTATCCGCAAGGCTCTTTTCTAATCCAAGGAACTGAGGAAAGTAACTTGGATTGGAGAAGGGGGAAATGACTATGTTTGCTTTCGAAACTAAAATCATGGGGTTTACAGAAGACATGGATTTTGCAACTCTGTAGCAAAACGAATTTATGTTTGGTAGACAATTTATAAATATATTTGGTAGAGTTGTTTTATTTTGTATGTATAATTCATCAGGTTGATAGACTTATTTATGTGTGGGTAGCCTTACGTGTTCGCATTTACATCTTGAAAGACTTATTTTATTATTTTAGGTAGACTTGTTTTATTCTTATTGATAGACTTGTTTTATTCTTATTGATAGACTTGTTTTATTCTTATTGGTAGACTTGTTTTATTCTTATTGATAGACTTGTTTTATTCTTATTGATAGACTTATAAGTTATGGTAAACTTGTTCCATTCATAATGGTAGACTTGTGTTTACTTGTGGTAGACTTATATTCATAATGGTTAATTATTTTTTTTTGGCATTCGTGGATGGTGGAGCAAAACGCGACCTCCGACCCAGCTGTTACAGTGGCTAGGGTGGTTAGAACTCCAACCCCGACGTCCAATTCGAAGACGAAACCACATCTTAAAAGCCGAACGAGTGGGAACAACAAAGAGTGTGTCGAAATACCTCATCCTCCTCCGAAGCAACCACGAAAGCCTACACTCCCTCCCCAAAAGCAAAAAAAACTGGTGGATCCGCCTTCAGGAGATCCACTTCAGCCTTCATCTTCTTTTTCATCTCTGTCAGACCCGGTGGAAAATGCTAGGCACAAAGCATTCAAGGCCAATTTAAACAAGATGGTAGAGTTTGTAAGCAAGGATGATGTATACGAGGAGAATGCCCATGGACTAAGGAAGGCACGCAATCTTGCTCCCAACCAAAAGTCTCCTTTTGTTGGCAGTTCTGCGGTGAAACGCATAGTGTTTGGTGTTTTTGCTGGAGAAGGACAATACGATCCGTTCCAAGAAGTTGAGCGAAGTAAATATTCAGCTTTGTTAGACTTTATAACTCCAGAACTGTAAGCATCCTTTCCTTTTGATTTCAATATAATCTCCATATGGTAGACTTGTTTATAAGCTTGTCATTGTTGCAGGGATAATGCTGTTGGTGACACTGACCCAATAATAGAGTTCTTCCTTCAATTGATGACTGCTAAAGCCAACTGGCCCATTTTGGAATATGGCTGGTTGGGTGATCGGGTAACTTTTTCACTTTGGTAGATTTATTTGTTTCCAAATTGGTAAACGTTTCAGTGATAGACTTAATGAATGGTAGATTTACGATAATGAATAGTAGATTTACGATAATGAATGGTAGATTTATTTTTGCAGCATATGACAGCGGGGATGCATATGTTCCGACAAAGATATTTGAGAGACCTGTGTCCCTTCCAAAGAGATGGTAGGGTGGCTTTCTTAGACCCGCTCTTCACCGGCCAGTGGCTTGTAGAATTTCAGCGAGACTTCTTACCCAATCCGGATAACTGGGCATTCCGGAGTGGTTACATTGACGTCGCCTACGGTAGATCTCCTGACTTTGCAGTCAGTAATAAGATATGGTTCAAGGATGTGGATCTGTTGTACATATGTCACAATATCGGAAGTAAGCATTGGATTGCCGTTGAGGTTCACCTTCCGAGGAAAAGGGTACACATATATGACTGCATTTCAACAGCATATCCGGATAGAAAACTGAAACAGGAAGTGAGGGCATACGCGAGGATGATCCCACTATTGCTTTGTCAATTGTTTCCCGGGGAATGGACACACGACCAAACCTTTCACACCTTCATTATGAAGAACGTTCCTCAAAACGTACAAACTGGCGATTGTGGGGTCTTTACCTTTGAAGATTATCGAATGTTTGGCTCTTGGATGTCCCCATGGATACTCTTAATGATGAGACAATTGCAGGGCTTCGACTGAAATATGCTGCTGAGATGAAGGATGAATTACCGACTCAATGGTTTAGGGAGACACTTCAGCTTAGTTGATGTTATTTTTTATTGTCAGAACTATATTTTTGGCTGTATTGTTGATGTTCGTCTTGATACGTTGTTAGATTGTTCGCATGGACGACATTCATGTTTAATTTGAAAGGTAGACTTATTTGAAATCAATAGTGTAGTTTTATACTTGTGGTAGATTTGTTTAAATTAAATCTTCCTCATGGTAGACTTATTTGAAATCAATAGTGTAGTTTTATACTTGTGGTAGATTTGTTTAAATTAAATCTTCCTCATGGTAGACTTATTTGAAATCAATAGTGTAGGTTTACACTTGTGGTAGATTTGTTTAAATAAAATCTACCTCATGGTAGAGTTATTTGATTGATCCTACTCAAGATAGATTTGTTTATTACATTACGACTGAATGATAGAGTTCTTAATATAATAAGGAAGCGAATTATTGAGGCCATATCATGGAAAATGATGATATTGTATCCCAGAATATGACACACTCCAATTTCCAGAAGCAGGATTCGCAAATTTGGTCACCAAATGTGTCCACCAGAATTTTGTCTCCCATCCACCGCATATTTGGCAACTTCAGACAAACACACTTCCTACAGGAAGATTTCAAATAAACCTGGCCCACCATTTCGTCGAGTTCTTCAGGCTTCGTAAAGTTGACATGACAGACGAGGACGTCTTGCATATTCCTTCTAATCTGCGTTGCTTCTGCCCGTGAAAGATCGTCGATGGTGTTGAAAATTTCCTGGCTCCCATCCATGGTTAGTTTGAACATAGTGTTGCAGTACCTGGCCATGAGTAATCCACCGTTTGATGCGAGCCTAATTAAATCCAACCTTGCCTGTAGGCCATCTTCTTCGTAGAATATATATGATAAACCTCTACGGAATTGCGCAGACAAATTTCCGGCCTCCAAGCAGCGCGTAAAGAATACACCAACCCTCCCATGTTGATCCCAAACCCATGGTGTGATAAATGATAGTAAATCAACTGTTTTCAAAAATCCCTCTTCATTGGTAATGTCGTTGAGCGTTTTGGATGAAACTTTTGCTCGACAAAGATCAACATACGAATTAGAATAAGTTTTCAGAAGGATCTCATACAAAATATCTGACGGGAGAGAGTTGATGTTCATTGGATTGGTCATATTAAACCTCTGGGATGAGAAGGAACTTCGACTAAAAGTTGTATTTATAGCCGGAAACCACAGATCCCAACCGTTACAACGGTCGGAAAAAACGGTTACAAACATGTCATACCCGTTTGCATTGAATGGTAGACTTATTATTATTGAATAGTAGACTTATTATTTTAGTATAGTAGATTTATTATTTTTATATGGTAGACTTGATGTGAACTATTTCTTTTACTACTAATACATATGTCTCTTTCACCTAACATTACTTTCTCTCTCCCCGAAAAAAAACCATATCCTGAGTTTTACAAAGGGCGACTAATCAGCGATTAAAGTCCTCTCTCTTATATTTCCGGCGTTTTCTTTGAACACGTTCCCGAAAGGCTGATTTCCCTTTCCTCGACGACTACTGTTACGTCCGGTGAGTTAGCGTTTCCTTTGGTCGTCGGAATTTTTGCCTTTTCCTCATTAAATTAGGGTTTACTGTA